ACTGGACATCTGTATGTCAGAAAATTAACCCTGATATAATTCTTACACTTCATACAAAAATTAACTCAAAATGGACCATAGATCTAAATGTAAAACGAAAGACAGAGAAAATCTTTGTGACCTGAGGTTAGGCAAAGATTTTTTAGATATGACACCAAAAGCTTGACTCATAAAAGAAAAATTTAATAAACTAGACTTTATCAACATTAGAAACATTTGCTCTGGAAACATACCATTAAGACAGTCTGAAAAGACAAGCTAAGGACTGGGAGAAAATATTTGCAAACTACATATCTGACAAAAGACTTGTATCTAGAATATATAAAAAAACTCTCAAAACTAACAATAAATGATCCACTTTTTAAAATGAGCAAAAGACTTTAACACTTAATCAAAAAGATATATGGATGACAAATAAGCACATGAAAATATGTTCAACATCATTAGCCATTAAAGAAATGCAATTAGAACCTGAATGAGATCCACTACACCCCTACCAAAATGGCTGAAATAGAAAGTACTGACATACCAAGTGCTGGCAAGGATGCAGAACAACTGGAACTTGCATACAATTCTAATGAGAATGCACAAGGATATGGCTGTTTTGGAAAATGGTTTGGCAGTTTCCTGCAAAGTTAAACATACCTACCCTATGACCCAGCAATATCACTTCTGGGTATTTACTGTAGAGAAATGAGTGGATAAACAAATTGTAGTATATACAGTCCATACAATGGACTACTACTCAGCAATGATATGGAATGAAATACTGATATAGGCAACAACACAGATGAATCTCAAAGCTATTATGCTGAGTAAAAGAAGACAGTCTCCAAAGGTCACATACTGTGTCCACTTACCTGGCACTGCCAAAAGGACAAATCTATAGTGAGGGATACGAGATCAGTAGTTGTCAGGAGTTAGGGTTGGGAAGACGGTGTGGGACAAGGGAGTATTCTGGGATGATAGATCTGCATCTTGACCGTGGTGGTGGTTACATGACCCTGCGTACCCATTAAAATGAACAGAACTGTACTCCAAAAAAGGACAATTTTATGTTAATTTTAAAACAAAAAAAAATCACCTCCTGTTCCCAAGGTTTTGCCTTTGTCTTTAACTCATCTGGTGTTTATTTGCATGTATAGTATAAGGAAGGTATCTACTTAGATTTTCTTTTTCTTATGGGGACAACTAGTTGCCCTAGACCCATTTATTGGATAGTACACTCCTCCCCCACTGAATTTCTTTTATTGAAATATATTTAACATACAACATTATGTAAGTTTAAGGCATAGGAAATGTTGATTTGATACATTTATATATTGTAATATGACTGCCATTAGTGATAATTAGCACCTCTATCATGTGACATAATGATTTCTTTTTTGTGGTTGGAATACCTCCACTGAATTTTAATGCCACACCTGTTGTATGTTTTTTCAATAAATGTGTGGGTACGTTTCTGAGCTCTCTATTCTATTTCTGGGTCTATTTATCTATCTATCTCTACATCAATACCACACTGCCTCAACTGTTATAGCTGTAAAATAAACTCTTACTATCTGATAGGGCAAGTCAATTTTTTCTTCTTCAAAATTGTTTTACCTATTCTTAGCCTTCTCTCCAACCTAATTCAATCCAAATGGACCTCTAGAGCACTTAGAGTAAAATCAAACTGCTAGGTAATTATTTTAATTAATTCAAACTGTTGGTAGCTTTCTGAACCTAAGGAATACTACCTTATATTGTTTTTTGGTCAACAGGACAAGTGTTATTCCCATTTTATCAATGAGGAAATAGACTCAAGAATTCCAAATGTAAGAAGCTGAATGACAGCACCAAGCAGCAAGAAAGGAGCCAAGCTAGTACTAGAAACAGAATTTCTGACCCCCAATCTAGAGCTCTACTCAGGAGCCAAGGTGGATCCCCACTGCCCTGTTTGCTTTCACCTATATGAAAACCATCTCAGTTTCCTGAGGCGGAAAAACAAAGCAAATTCCCTGACCCTAATTCACCAATGGGACTGCAAGATATTATAAAAAGTGCATTTCAAGCCAGCAGTCGAAAATAAATGGAAGTGTAAATGAAGATGAAAAAAATAACAAAATTTCAAGTATTTTTCCTTATAACTAATAAAAGCCTAGCATCCATTTTAATTAGGCATCACAGTTAATTATAAGACCAATGAATGTTTACTGATAGGTTTTTTGAAATTACAATTAACATCCACTTTAAAAAACATTGTCTAGATTGCATAATGAAATACTACTATCAAAATGAACTATATTTAAAGTTTGTTTTGTAACTATAACAATATATCTAATTCAGAGAAAGGAATTATAAACATCAGGTAATTCAAAGCATAATTTTATTAGTACTTCAGAAAAACAGTGACACAGAGTTTCTAAGAATATGCCTGTTCATTTCCTGTATGAGAAACCACAGAAAAATTTAAAATATTTTATTATATGTATTTACTATGCCACCATTTTTGAAAACCATTGTGCTTTTCCCCCCTTTTTTGGCTGGTAAGCGGAGTGTGAGGAAGACTGTTTTCCAAACTCTCTAACAAGTTTTAAATTTTTAAAAATAGACTTGTAAAAAAAGGCGTATTCTCAATTTATCTGCCTATTTTTATAGCGCTTGTCTTACCTAGTCACAGTGCACTTACTTACATTACTTTCTATAGGTAGGCCCAAATTCCAGGTGAAATTTTTCTAAAGCAGTTTCCCTCTGCATTAGCCACATTCTTGCCCACTTTACCACCCAAAGACATTCACAGTCAGACTCTTGGCAGAGGCTTCACAACATTCTGCTGCTGATAAAAGAGAAACCACCACCCACCCAAGACACCAACTGCCAGCTGTTTAGTTTTAGATTTTGGTTAAGGAAAATTTGAAGAAATTCAAGTCATTCTTCTTTCTCTTTTATCTATAAATCCTCTATCCTATAGCTGGAACTATACAGAAATATTGTGACTACTGATATACCAGAGATGTGTCTATAAATGTCAACCATCTAGTTTACTCAAAAAATTTTATTGGTTCAGGCAGGTGCCTCTAATGTTAATTAGTAGATAATATTAACAGATACATATGGAAACAGAAAAATAAAAAGGCACAGTTATGTCTTCCTTAGAAACTTATAATTTAAAGACATCAAGAAAGAATGCATGTAATTTACATATAAAAATAAGCACCTTATAGAGACGTCACTGTATTTGAAAGCACAGAAAATTTTCACTGTCCTTGAAAATGATGGAATGAATACATATTTGGCGTTTTATGAAGTAGCTTTATGAAGAAGATGAATTTTTAAAGTTGGAAGGAACAGAATTTGAAAGTAAGGACACAGAAAATTTTTTTTTTAAATACACGTTACCTTAGAATTGTGGCTAAATATAAGCTGCTCATACATATATGTTCAAACAGGTATGATGATTCAAGAAGAAGCTAACCTAATCTGAATCAGTTATTTCTAACCGGTGGGCCAACGAGTCACTGGAAGAGTTGCATGGATGTACACACAGCAAGCATGGTCTGTAACCTAAAATATTTCTCTCACATATGTATCCCATTATTTTTCAAATGTAAACAGATATTAGTATAATAAAATACAAAATCATTTCAAAGCATAGTAGTTTTTTGCCATCATGCATAATCGCAATCAGCAAATACTAAAAGTACAATTACTTGTGTGTTAGGGGTACAGGGCTCCTCATATTCAAAACAGGTCAGGGGCCTTTTAGCTAATATATAAGCTGGCTCCTTCCTATACACTCCTTCTGTCTCTAAAATGCTATAATTTTAAGGAAACTAAGGACTCTTATGGTGGATCTTTAGAATTATTACATTATAAATACGTATACATTTGTATATATAAATAATGCCTGCGACGTGCCAAGCACTGGACTAGCTTTTGTTACAAAGATGAATAAGACATGATTCCAGACTCAAGCTCAAATTGGCAGGAGACAGATACGTGAACAAATAATACAACCTAATAAATACTGCAGAACTGTTTCAAGTGCTTTGGGAGCACAGTGGTATTATCAATGTCACCTGGCGGAGTCTGAGAAGACAATGATCTATGAATTGGGTCTTGATAGGTTAGTAAAAAAGAAAAAAAAAGAAGAGTAAGCATTCTAGACAGACGGTACAGCACATACAAAAGCACAGAGTTGTGAAAATGCACATGTCTGGGGAAACAGCCAGTAGTCTGGTATGGTTGAATATTAAGGTATTTGAAGAAGATGAGACTAAAAAAGGTAAAATGGATTGGGACAGATAATAAAAGGTCTGAATGACACGCTTCACAATTGGGACTTAATTTTCTCAGCAATACGATTATTGACAAAGTTTAAGGAAAAGAGTGATATAAAGGGATTTGTATCTCAGAATAACTCTCTGGAAGGATGACGGTGGGGAAACCAGTTGGGGGACAAGTGCAATAATCCTGGCGAAAGAAGAAGAAATAATATAGTGCCGTGCGAGTGGAAATGAAGAATCACGGACGACGGTTTCCAGTTTGGACAGCTGGATGGATACTGGTACCATTATCAGAGATGGGATACAGAAGAAAGGCAGGAGGAAAACCAGGAAAAGAGTATTCCTCGGAGGGCAGTTTCAAGAAAGAGGGAATGGTTATCCGTGTCATATGCTGCAAACAGGTAAACTGAAAACCGAAAAGGGTCCCTCTTCCCTCCCCTCAATGGTGAGCCCCAGATGGGTCAGGCAGGAAGAAAACGCATACGGAGGGCGTGTCCACAGGGTGAGGGCCAAGGCTTTTCATTAAACTTCCCGCACCTCGGTCCCGGAAAGAGGAGGTCAGCGCCGGGGCCGGGGAGAGGAAGTACCGCTCCGAGGAGCGGGGAACCGGCGGAGGGAACGGCTAGGGCCGGCGGCCGGTAACTCAAGAGCTGCAAAGCACCAGAGCGGCCCAGGAGAAGGAAGCTTCTGACCCGCGACGCCCGCTCCTGTCCCTGGATTTATTCCACTTACTCTGCTCTCAATCCCTCGCAGCCGTCAGCTGTGGCGATTAGGACTCAAAGCCTCTGCTAACAGGGACCTATGCACCCAAGAAAAGAGACTCCTCTCGCCTGTTCAGCTTCTTCAGTGAGCAGACGCAGAAGCCGGCAGACGCAGCAAACCGGCAGCTTCTGGGGTCAGCGGGGCTCAGCCCCATCACTGGCGAGGGGAAAACCTCCCCTGACAGCCTCCGACCAGCCCCCTTAGCGCGCCCCAACCTCGCGAGACTTCCTTCCTCGCGTTGCCGTGGGGGCAGAGCCGAGAGATTTATTTGCGGCTTCTCGCTGACATGCGCGAGAGGTGGGGGCGGGTCCCTTCTACGTCCCTCCCTATTAACCTACTCTTAGGCTCTTGCTTGGCCTCTCGCAAAGTCTCGCGAGCTTTGCCAGAGGAAACTGGCCTGGGTTGAGAGACCGGGAAGGGGAGACCGGGTGGGAGGGCCTTGTGCGTAAGGGACCGTGGCTGGTTTAGCTGGTGCTATGGTTGGTACTTCGGTGTTGGCGAGGCTGTCAGGTTGCCCGGGTCAATCTTCGCAATGCGTGATTGGGAAAATTAGCCGGTAGAAAAGTCTTGATGGTCGGAGGCATTTTTTTTCTTGGCTCCGCCCTCTTCCTATTCAGCGACCTGGGCGTCTGGCCCACGGAGGGGGAAGGGCAGCTTGGCGGGGCTGTGGAAGAGTCTGCGCACGCGCGAGACCGAGTGTGTGCGGATTTGTGTTCATGCGCACGCGCGCGCGCTCCTACATTTAGGAAGCCTGGGAAGGACCGGTGTGCTAGGAGATGAGCGGGGAAAGCATAGTCCCCTGTCTTTGGTACCAGACTGTCCTGACTGTGCGCTGACCCTTCCCACCCAGCCAGCAGGCTTTTCCAGAGAGGCTGTGGTCCGTAGCCTCTGTTCGTTTTCACTGCAGGACCAGGCACGAAAGTAAGCGAACCTCGATCCTGAGGTCTTCCCTGTCCACTCACTTTGTATTTTCCACCCCTCATCCTCCAGCAGAGCGTGTCTAGCTTTCTCAAAGAAGAGTTTTGCGAGAAGGGGAAATGCGTTTGAAAACAGGAGAAGAAAATAGCTGGCGCGTAAAAATTCAGTTCGTTTTGATGAGCACTTTTGCTCTGCTTACCATGTGCTTCTTGAATGTGGATTGTCTATTCTGTATAAGATATTATTAGCGAAGCAAGGGAGTTTTTATAAGAAAAAGTTTTAAAAGTTCCTCCTCCCCACCAATGTGATGGTAGCAACTAAGTTTTTCTGTTCTACCAGGTAAATTACTATGGTGTTTCAAAAGCTAAGGGGGAGTGTGAATTTGAAGTTCTTATGCTAACGCAAAGACCCGATATGTAGTTATCTTAGGAGATGTTTATTATGTTTTGGGCCTTCCTTTTGCTGTCACTCCTCTTTCCTGTTAATTCTCCCGTTCCTCCCCCCTCCCTCCTCTTTCAGAAGTCTTGAGACTTTTTGGAGGGAAGCCCAAATCTGACTGGGGTTAGTTTGGGGGTTTCTATGTGGTTTACGTCAATTAGCAAGGATCATCAAAAGAATATTTGAAGAGTATTTGTCGTTTATTATGTTTGGTGTTAGGTAAGGGAATCAAGTACAATTATTTGTAAAATATTTTCTTCTGACGATTTTAAGTTTATTCAAAAAGCCAAAAATATGTATGGACTGTAATTTTGCCTGTGCCTGTAGAGTGACAGTTAATATGGTGTAGCTGATTTCTTGAATTGATAGTTACTTTCTGGTCATGACCTCATGAAATCTTGTTCTTTGTTGGATAAATTGCTTATTTGAATACTGATTGTTCGTTTTCTCTACCAGGTCTTCTTGAGAAAAAGACACTTAATTAGAAATAATTTAAGATATTAAGTATTATGTATAAGACATTTGGCTAATCTATGTTATCTCTTACAGGGTAAAACAAAATGAAGATTTTTTCTGAATCTCATAAAACAGTATTTGTTGTGGATCACTGCCCTTACATGGCAGAATCATGCAGACAGCATGTCGAGTTTGATATGTTGGTGAAGAACAGGACCCAAGGAATCATCCCTTTAGCCCCCATATCTAAATCATTGTGGACTTGCTCCGTAGAATCTTCCATGGAATATTGTAGGATAATGTATGATATATTTCCTTTCAAAAAGCTGGTAAGTGTGAAGTACAAGCAAAATCATGATTTTGGGGATGTACTTAACTGCCTATTACATTTTTTATATATGACTTTGCTATAGATTTGAGTTAAAACTGTTTACTGTTTTAAAAATATGGTATGTGGTATTCTCCTTTGGGATTAATATGTTATATGAATTTAATTAGGGCCAGCAACAGTAATAACAGCTAACAATTATGGAGCACTTACATGTACCAGGCATGTTACCAAGTGCTTCATATTTATTAACTCCTTTAATTCTCACAAAAATCCTGTGAGGTAGCCACTGTAATTACTGGAATAATATTCAAAGTGTATAATAACCAGATGGAACAGGCAGTGACCATTGAAAACTGTTGCCAGCCTAAGCAGAAGGGATGTTGGCTGTAAGCAAGTTGTCAGAACGTCCTGGTAAGTACCATCTGAATATCAGTCTTATTACTGCTGTGTTGGAGATGCAGAGACTGAGGTAAAGAGAGGAAGCTTGTGTTGAGTCACATAGCTAGTTAGAGGCAGAACCAGAAGTTGAACCTAAGCAGGCTGGCTGCTTATAGTTTTAGTGACTGTGTACGGAACTGCTGCAGGATTTGGCCATGTTAGAAAGAACTGCTCTTGAGAATGCCACGCGGAAATTATTTTTGTCAATAAGAAGAGAAATTGCAGATTGATAGAAATTTCAAGTATGCAGATTATCTTCAGGTTTCAGAATCTCCACTGTTTTATTTTGGGAGTCATTTGGTTAGCCACAAGTGGATGATTTGCTTTCTGTCTCATTTGGAGCAGCCTACGCTGGGCCCTTGCCAGTTCTTAAACTGGGACAGGCAGGGCAGTAACAGTAAGGCTGAACATAGAGAGTCTAACATTATGCATTCCTATATATTCCAAATTAAAATTTAATAATGCACAATTCCTCTGTAAATTGTGCATTATGTCGGGTAAAAAACGGCATGAGAGGAACGCTAATGTAGTGATATAGCGCTTTGGTTCAAATCCTGGCATCATTAGCTACCAGCATTGTGACCTTGATCATATTGCTTAATTTCCCAAAGTCTCAGTTTCCTCCCATGTAAGCGTAACACCTACTTCCTATGATTGTTGTAAATTTTAATGAGATAGTGTAAATAAAATGGCTACTAAAATATGTCCCTGTCAGGTAAACCTTAGGAGGGAAGGCTGCTTATCAAACTTACTGGGAAAGCAGAACTAGTATTTCGTGGATATTAGGAAAAAAGATCACAGATTAGATCATATAGTCCAGGGGAAAGAAATAATCTCACCCTCCTCCCAAAAGGGAACATGGTCATCATTTGATGTATTTTCTAATATATCCTTACTGTCATTGTCATCTTACTTGATAGTATTTTTTTGTTTGCATTTTACTTTAAAATTTAGAATGAAGTCCAAATCCAGTATTTTGACTTTCAATGCCTTATGTGATATGGCTGCTGCCTATTTCTCTGAGTTTATCTCCTACCCCTCTGCCTGCTCTGACCTTCACCCTTTTGAGGGTACACACTTAGAGGCCTTTGCATTTACTGTTCGCTGTATCTGGAATTCTCTACCCCCAGCTCTGTCCGTGGCTGGTTTCTTTTGGTCATTTTGGATTCCCCTCAGTTGCCACTTCTGTAGAGCCCTTCTTTGACTGCTCAACCTAAAGTAGCTAACCAACTTCTTTTTCAAGGCATTTATCACTCTCTGAAATTATCTTGTTCACTTATTTATTTGTTTGTATTCTCCCTGCACTGCCCTCCATCTTACCCCCCACCCCTGCAACCCTGGCCTTCCCCACGTTGTGAGTAACAGAACTGTTTTATTCATCACCTTATTCCCATAGCCCCAGTGCCAAGAATAGCACCTGGCATGTACTAGGTGTTCTATAACTATGAAATGAATGAATGAATGAAACAATCAGCAAACCAGTGCTAGAGACTGCATATTATTTTAAATATGATGTGATTGAGTGGAATTGGAGTTGCATACTAATTATTTCTTTAAAATTCATTAGGTGAATTTCATTGTGAGTGACTCTGGAGCACATGTTTTAAATTCTTGGACTCAAGAAGACCAAAATTTGCAGGAGGTATGGTTAGGTTTTGACCTGTGGCCTTTTTAAGAAATTATCTGAATGTGGTAATACTTTCTTAAAAAATGATTAAAAAAATTTTTTATCAAGTAGTATTTGTACATAGTTTTAAAACACCAACTAATACTAAAAGAAAAAGAGCTATCTCCATTCCAGTCTTTCCCCACTTCCTAGAAGCAAAGTTTCAAGTCTTTAGCTCAGCTAGTATTTACTTCCATATTTCTAAATAACATGTTTTTACTGCTATTTGTAGAGTTCTCAATTTAAACTTTATTTATCATTATTGTCAATGCGGATTTACCTTTTATATTCCCTCTTCCCTCATTTTCTCAATGTTGTTATAGCAGGATTTTTGGTTAATTCAAAATTCCACGTTTGCGTTATAATGTCTACATCAAGTGTTATTCACTGCTAAGCCAAGTAGTGTATGTGATTATCTCCTTTCTTTTTTTTTAAGGTTTTATTGAGATATAATTGACATACAGCACTGTATAAGTTTGAGGTATACAGCATAATGATTTGACTTATGTATTATTTCCTTTCTTATACAACTTTTTGTTTATTCCTAGAATTTATCATTTCCTTTTTGTTCTTAATTTGTTTAGTTTTCTGTGTATCTGTTGCTGCTTTTCCTCATGTCTGTATAAAACTTCTCAATATTTTTTATGATAGATGTATTAGAAGTTAGCAGTTTGATTTTTTTTTTTCCCTTGAAAAACTTGTGGAGCACAGTCTTCTGCTCCAGTTTGAACTGACTGCTTTCTAGGCCCGGCACACTGCTGTCATCCTCCTCTTCCTGTTTTTCAGATCCCAATTTTTTTCCTCTGTGTCTTTGTGTACTCTCTTGTTTTGGTAGACTATAACTTCCAGGATTCCTATAACTTACCTTACGCTTTATTAATAACTGGGATATAGAAATTTCAAGTTGGAAATAACTTTTTCCTCAAAATTCTGAGAGCGCTATTCCACTGTTTTAAGCTGCTAGTGTTGTTGAGG